TACCTTAATGCAGGGAATGAATTAAGGTAAAAAATATCTAGCCTTTAAAACCACTTTACCAGACATACTGATGGAGCCAATGATAATTGAATCCTGTATAAATGGAACAAAACATTGTTTTGCATTAGGTAATGCATTAGGTAAAGAACAGCTGAAGTGTGACTGGCTGCTAGGAACACAGGTCTTAAAAATTAGCATTCTTGTGGGTCTATAGCAATCTCAGCAATTGTGAGACTGGTGTGTGCATGGAGGACAAGATCATACGTAGTCCCAGATTACCATGTAAACTGCAGTAGTTTGTGTTCCAAGTTTTTCATGCAGTATGTGGTGCAACTGGATAACCAGCAATAACAATGCATTAAAAAAAAAACACGCTAACTGAACATAGGAGCCAAACCCTTTATTTAAAAAGTTACTAAAACAAAAATTTCAACCAATTTAAATATATGGATTTTTATTTACATTTTTATCTAATTCCTAATAAACTGTACACAGAGGAGCAATTTGTTACATTTCATAGCATTACTTTTTTTTATTGTTTCTCAGTGTGCTTTACAAATGACAAAATGAAATACTGTTCCCCAATTTTAAATATATCCCATTATAACTACAATCTTCCTGTACATGGCATTAAAACAATTTATATATGTACAGTAATCTGTTTAAGTTATGAAAAAAAACATTATAAAAGGAGGTAAATATACATATAATACAAGGCACTGGGTACAATATTACAATTGGAGGCTCGGACAAAAAAACAAAACAAAAACAGGAGTCATTTATGCTGCACACACACTAAGGATTATGCCAAATGTGCTGGCCATTTTCTGCTCCATCTGCAATCTATGACACTCAATGAAGGTCCTAGAAGAGTTAATTAACATTTATAGTGCACATTATGTCTTCTCCAAACATTAACATATACTGCCTAACTTATTTCGGACATGTCCATTTCATGTTAATATAAAAAAAAAAAAAAATAATATTCCAGATACAGTATATCCAAAATAATGCCAGGGCAGCTGCTCATATTTAATGGATCTTCAAAGACACAGTTTTATCCGCAGCAAAGGCATCACCCAATATTTTGCCTCTCAGTAAGCAAGAACCCATGTCTAGATATTAATGGTGTTGACAGAGTATTTCCTATCTATTATTTTATTCTATGTTGTAAGCAGCATGCACACTATTCAACCCAATACAGGAAGACATAAGCCCCCTACCATGCCTGAGAAATTGCACATATATCTCAAGAAGATTGCCACAGACACAAGAGGTTGGTTGAATAATTATGGATGACTGGACCACAAGAAGATTTTTTTTCCCCCATATTTATTCCGTTAGAATAAAACATACATGGTTGGGCGATCAGAGTGTGCCTGTTTAATTATTACAGTGGAATTCAGGTACTGTCAAATTATCTTAAGGGAAATAATATCAATTGGCCAAATTTATTCAACAAAGAAAAAATAATATTTTACCCAGAGATCTGTTGTCCAAGAGAAACTGGTGGGGTTTGAAGGTGGCCATAGATATGACTGTAGCTTTGTCATGTCTCTGACCACCTTTACTTTCACTTACCTAGCAAAAAAAACAGAAATTAACAGAGCAATGACCGAGGGAAAGCACTCAAAGTGCATGACCTTTATGCACTTAAGATCTTCATTCAAAAAAAAAACAAAAAAAAAAACCTCACACTGTTCTAGGTCACCGAGCATACGAGTAGTGAAATTTAATTTTTCTGAGATAAAACATTTAGTGTGTCATATTCATATACACAAAGTACTTTTTCAAGTGGGAACTCCTCACTTCAAGTGTCTGGCAGGCCATCATCTTTCATACTGCTTTGACAACTTTAATTATGAGTCACACCATGATTCCCAACAGTACTTTTATGAGACATGAACCTTTTCAGACATTTCGTACCTCTCAGAATCATTGTGCAGTTTGAAGGTTCCAACAGTGAAGACTCATGTTTTTTTTTTTTTTTTTAACAAAACTAGAATGGATGCATAAAATATAGTCTCATAAAATATCTTTACAATACATGACATCTACCCTCCAAATGCCAAATTCTTGAGGTGAAAATGTTCCTTCTTTGTACTGCACCAGCAACTTTCTGAGGAACCAGTGCATATCACAGTGGTCTTCATCAGCCAAAAAGACAACCACTTTTTCTGTGCTCTAATCTGAGTGGTTACTATGGGTTTCAGAAAGATAATAAATCAAGGCTGCTTGTATTCACTTGGCAGACATTAAGTATTATCTATCAGGTTTTGCTTGGGTTGCCAGACCAAATAAAGGCCAGCAGCAAACACTGCAATCTCCAGCGAAGAGCAATGAGTGGCCATATACAGTAAATAACAAAATGATAAGATGTAACTTCAATTATACTCCCATGGTAAACGGGATTTACGCGTGAGGCCCCTGTAATCAAACAACTATGACTGCTGTAGATGACAAATTTATAATACTGGTTTTAAATGCAGCATCCTAAAAATGGGAAGAAATACAGAAATATAAACTTTCCACAATGGTCTATTGGAGCAACTGCAAACAGCTTGTTTTATACAAGTGCCACAAGAAGGGATGATTTCCAGCTAGAATTTAATCACAAATGTAATTGTAAGATGGTTAATATGTTCATCTGGGAAGGTATTTTTAGTTAAAAGGTCATTTGCCAAACTGCTGTTTTATGGTAATGTTTATGCCATTTTCCTCGTGACATTTTTTGTTAATGCACTAATAGGAAAAAAGTGACACTAATTCTGCAGTCTTAATTAAAATGGACTTCAATAATATGAGTAGCAAAATCTCCAGGGATCCCTTGTGTTATATATTGGTTTTCTGCACTCACTGCAAATGTGTTACACTTATCTCCATGCTCCCTAGGCAAGTCTTGCCTATAATGCATTGAGCTATGCTAAACAGACAAGAGATATTCCCAGTTTAGCATCTGCAGCAGACTACAGACTCCGTACACTGCACAATATATAGATTGGCATGTACCCCATTCAGATGCCTTCTCATCATATATCTATGGCTCGTAGGCTAAACGCATGCAAGCCTCTGTTTAAGGTGGGGAAAAAACTGTTCAGGAGGCAAACACATGACCTGCATATACAGCCATCACCAGATGTAGAATAAACGTGTTCAATTAGCCCTTAATTGTGCTCTAAAAGGAGTGTATGCACACAACTATTGGATCAACGTGAAAAACTCACCTTGATCTAGATGAAATATCCTAATGAAAACAACTGGACAAGGTGATTGTATAAATTAATATTGACAATTGTTTAGGTAGATTAAAATGTCTTCTAAACTTCACATACATGGATCTGCCTGCTAGATATGTCTACACAAGCCAGTCCACATAGAGTCAATAGAAACATTAGCAATGAGCATATACACAAGTAGATCATCATAGCAGATATTTTACTATACCATTTACCATACCAGATATTTTGTATCCAACCAAATACTGGATGCTGGAAGTGCCTGTGTCCCAATAGAAGCTGCGCAAAAATCTATTCATCTGCTAATCAATGCATTGTTCAGGGTACAGAAGACCATGCACTGCATAAAGCCCAAAGTGTGTATAACTGGCTTGTTGATAACTGTTTACATTGATCCAGAATATAAAGATTGCCTCACACCAAACTGCTATTGAACTCAATAACCATTTACAATCTTTGCCATACAAAAGGTAGAAAACCGCCTGTGTTCCAAGTCAATCTAAGTCTGCCGTGTGATCTTCAATTAAAGAGAATTTAGAGTTTCTGCTATTATTTTTAAACAGCCACATTAAAGTAAATATAGTTATTAAGATTGTTAATGTTTTCCACTTGCTATTTATTACATATGCAGGCTCTATTTCTTGCTTTGTGGTGCATCACAGTGCATCTGCTTCCACTCACAGTGTAAGGCAATGAGTCCTCCAACACATGGAGGACAATGCACTCTCCAGGAGATATCTGATCTCAACAACTGTTGTGCAGGGAGGAAGAGTGATGTTGTTAGCTAATCTACAGTGCTGCCTCCAAAAGAGGAATTCATAAGAGTTTCATTGATGATGAAACCTCTAGTGTTTTCTATAAACAGAAGGTAATTCTTTTTTAAATTGTTTGCAGCCATATGATGACTTTACAAAAGTAGTGCTACTAGACACTACCTGGAGCTGCTGCACATTTCGATAAAGCTGCCGAAACTGGCACAAATATTTTTTAGTCTGGCGTAGGCAGCAGAAAAGTGTTGTATTATTGTATAAAATATACAGGGGAATTCAATAAAACACAAGCATGATGGCTTTACATACATTATAAAATGGACGCTGTAACTTTGCTATTTTAGTTTCTGATTTTATACAGACATTGCCAATTTGCCCTGCTTTAGTAAAGTAACAGCGTCTCTTTAAGTGGCTCAATGCAGCTCAACCTTACTAGAGTGAAAATGCTGACAGTCAACAAATATATGCAGTTCAGACTGTAAGCTCTTTACCGGTAAAACATTGTACAGTGACTCTAATTTAAAACTGAAATTTCCAACCTCACCAACTAAATGTACGCATCCTCTGCGCAGGATACACCGTATTTAATAAGAGCAAAAAGCACTAGAAACAATCTTCCATAAACCAGTTATTTTCAGTAATGGTCACAAGTTCCTTCAAGTATATAAGCAGCCTGAGAGGGGCCACTAAATTAACAATTAAGGGGCTATGAACCATCCTAAATATGTAACATGAGGTTGTGTGCAGACCGGACATTTGACATGTCAGCTATATTGTGACATATAAAAGACTGACTTTCAAAAACACCATTCCAATGGGGCCGACGAAAAAGCTTTCCAGGGAGTGGAAAACTGCTTTGGTGGATAGCAGGCTCATCTCTCTCTTTACACATCTCCGCAATGGCCTGCGGTATGCTGCAGAGTGTCAGTTCTGGATTCCTGCTTTATTCCTCCCTGGAACTCCTAGATGCAGGGGGAAGTTTAGCAATCTTCTGCTATTTTGACATTGACAGCAACAGATTTACCTAAAATAAAAAGGAAAGACAGTCGGATTAGCAAATCACTTACGCCAGTTCAGTTAAAAAAAAAAAAAAATCAACAACTATTTCAGCAAACCAATAATGTGTTCATACTTCCAAAAGTGTTGTGTGTGCACATTTATTTTAGTTATGCTCTCATACATAGTGTACGTTTTATATGGGCTAATGCACTGCATGCATGAGTACACACATCTCTTTTATAAATCCAGAAGGCATTCATAAGAAGATGCTGTTGTGGTAGTTTCTCTATGTGTGGATAGAAAGCTGTAGGTTGCCATGGTAACGCTGAACCATTCTCCTTCAAATTCGTGCAGTGGATATAGCATGCAGACAAAAACAGTAAAGTTTATATCAAGGAAGACATTTTTGAAGATGTAATATTGCAGAAAGGATAATTTTGAAGTGGGTTGGTATAATAATTGGTTCATAGACTCCTCCAATTGCCTATTATACAATATATCTTATGTTCCCCACCCAGGAACACGCATCCATTCAACTGAGCGGTGACTTACAAAACCTACACAAAAGGGAAACACCACAATGTCCCTCAAACAACTGCCAATTAAATCTCTGCTTCGACTAAGTGCACTTTTTGCAGAAAGAAGCTCAGATGAGAACAGACGCTTTCTTTTTCTCCAGATTTGTTACCCAGCCTTGTAGTTCGCTATTGCACAACAAAAGTTCTAATAAATACATTTCAAACATTGCATTAAATTATATTAGGGGTTTGTGACAGAAGACAGTATAACCTCTTTATTATCACAAGGGGATGCAACACTGAACTTGCTCAGCAAAGTTCACATATCCTTTATATACTGTACCTGCTCCATTGAAGGACAAGCAATGATCTGTAAATCCTCACTACTGAATTCTTCTTTTAATAACATGTGGATCTTCTGGAAGACTTGCTGAATGTTACTCTGTAATACATGGAGATGAAATTCCACGTTTCAACAGGGAGGCCAAAAAATTGCAATTTACTGGTATTTACTATTGTGTCTGTGACACACATTTTCACTTGCCCAGGTTGCTGTATAGCTAGTAGTAGTTAGTCACATTTAAATGGACTTGTTTAGTTATGCTGATTTCCCCATTCATCTGAATGGCTTTCCCAGATGAACTGGGATGCCCAGAGGTGTGTGCTTAAAACTGATGGCGTGTATACCCAAACAGCCCAGATGCATGTGACCAACTACTACAAGTTGTATTCTGTAAACAAAAGTATTCATACCTCTTGACATGTTCCACATTTTGTCATGTTGCAACCAAAAAAATACATGTATTTTATTGGGATTTTATGTGATAAGACCAATACAAACTGGCACATAATTGTGAAGTGGAAGAAAAATGATAAAATGGTTTTCAAAATCTTTTTACAAATAAATATCTGAAAAGTGTGCCGTGCATTTCTATTCAGCCCCCCCCCCCCCCCCCCCCCCCCCGAGCAATTACAGCTGCAAGTCTTTATGGGGATGTCTCTACCATCTTTGCACATCTAAAGAGTGAAATGTTTGCCCATTCTTCTTTCCAAAATAGGTCAAGCTTTGTCAGATTGGATGGAGAGCGTCTGTGAACAGCAATTTTCAAGTCTTGCCACAGATTCTCAATTGGATTTAGGTCTGGACTTTTACTGGGCCATTCTAATACATGAATATGCTTTGATCTAAACCATTCCACTGTAGCTCTGGCTGTATGTTTAGGGTCGTTATCCTGCTGGAAGGTGAACCTTCACCCCAGTCTCAAGTCTTTTGTAGATTCAAACAGGTTTTCTTTTAAGATTGCTCTGTATTTCGCTCCATCCATCTTCCCATCAACTCTGACAAGCTTCCCTGTCTCTGCTGAATAAAAGCATCCTCACAACATGATGCTGCCCACCATGTTTCACGGTGGGGACAGTGGTGGAAAACTAACATTGCACATCACCCTGAATACACACATAGCATTTTGCTTTTAGGTCAAAAAGCAAAATTTTGGTCTCCTCTGACCAGAGCACCTTCTTCCACAAGTTTGCTGTGTCCCCCACATGCCTTCTAGTAAACTGCAAATGGGACTTCTTATGGCTTTCTTTCAACAAATGCTTTCTTCTTGCCACTCTTCCATAAAGGCCAGATTTGTGGACTGCATGACTAATAGTTGTCCTGTGGATAGATTCTCCCACCTGAGCTGTGGATCTCTGCAGCTCCTCAAGAGTTACCGTGGGCCTCTTGGCTTCTTCTCTGTTTAATGCTCTCCTTGCTTTGCCTGTCAGTTTAAGTGGATGGACATGTCTAGGTAGGTTTGCAGTTTTGCCATACTCTTTCCATTTTCGGATGATGGATTGAACAGTGCTCCATGAGATGTCCAAAGCTTGGGATATTTTTTTTATAACCCAACACTGCTATAAATGTCTCCACAACTTTATCCCTGACCTGTCTGGTGTGTTTTTTGGCCTTCATGATGCTGTTTGTGCACTAATGTTCTCTAACAAAACTCTGAGAGCTTCACAGAACAGATGTATTTATACTGAGATTAAATTGCACACAGGTGGACACTATTTACTAATTAGGTGACTGCTGAAGTCAACTGGCTCCACTAGATTGTAGTTAGGGGTATCAGAGTAAAGGGGGCCACACTTTTCAGATATTTGTAAAAAAAAAAAAAAATGTAAATCCATTTATCATTTTCCTTCCACTTCACAATTTGGTGCCATTTTGTATTGGTCTATCACATAAAATACCAATAAAATACATTTACATTTTTGGTTGTAACATGACAAAATGTTGAAATATTCAAGGGGTATGAATACTTTTTCAGGGCATTGTACATAGGGGCTGACCTTGCTGAAGTTATTTCACCAATTTAGATTAAACTATAGTTAAAAAAATGAATTCTACTGGTACTTAAAACAGAGAAAAAAAAAATAATAACAACAGGTTAAAAAAAAAGCCTACCATGGAACAAGTATTGAAATTCTAACACAAAACAAGTGATTGGCGTGTCTCCTCTGTGGTAATTTTATATATTTTTTTGCAACCTATAGGGAAAAATGATGAAACAATGTTGCTAACCTGCACTAAAGTGACAAATGAAATATGCTTGGTTGCTTGTGCGACACCCCCCCCCCCCCCTTTTTTTTTTAAACAGTTTCTCAGTACTAATTATCATCTTGGGAAAGGATGTTCAATAACTTACCCAATGCACTATGCATTCTAACAAGTAGCTACACATTTTATACATTTTAAAGCATAAACTCAATGATTACGAATACTGAAAAGATGTCTTGTACTTGATACTGTAAATACAGAGACAATGCAAACATTTGTATAAATTATTATGCTTCTCTATGTCTGGATCTACACCTACACTAAACCATACAACTCAATGTATATATTCTGTATGCATAACTGTCTATGCTTATCATTTGATGAGGAAGGAAAGGCTGTTAAGTAAATAAATAGGAAATGTTCATTCACAGAACACAGTACTACCTGCTACAAGCATTGACTCACCCGAACAGGCTTGAAAAGAATGAATTCTGTGTCTTTGTTTGCTAAATACAATGACATGCTCCTCAGAGTCCCCGGCAGTTTAGTTTTTATGGTTTTGTAGGTAGAAGACACCAAGTCATTTATCTTTACTGTAAAACAAGCATATATTCAACAATATACAGTATAACAGGAAAAAAAGCATAAAACATTTATAAATGAGAACGAGTTCTGCACAAGAAAAAAAATCTAGAAGAAATTTGTGTGGGCAATCCTGTACCAAGAGGCAGCGGGATTTTGACGAAGCACCAGCCGTGGTGGTTTATGGATCATCTCTATTAGATAGAGGTGTAAGGTTGCTTAAAATAACACTGTAGAGAGCCAGGAACTTAGGAGCTTTTTGGATTTCTGGTGGGATTAATGCATATTTTGTGGACTTCTCAAACAGATATAACAAAAATCATTCAATGGTATATATAAAGTGGTTGTAAAGGCAAAAGGCTTTTTGCCTTAATACATTATCTGCATTAAGGTAAAACTCTTCCAATAACAGCGCCCCTTTAGCCTACCCTTAAACACTTACCCAAGTCCTGTATCAATCCAACGCTTTGACTGGCTGCAATTCATCTTTCCCCTCTGTGCTCACAAGCTTGGCTGAAAGCAGCCAGTCATTAGCTTCTGCTGCTGTCAGTCAAATCTCATGAAGGCATGGGGTGCGGGGCTGAGCTGCACTCTGTGTGCATCTATGGACGTACACAGCCCGAGTGCATCTATGGACGTACACAACCAGAGTGCCTCCATAGCAAACCCCAGCTATGGGGACACTCAAAAAAAGAGGAGCCAAGAGCGCCAGCAGGAGATCCCAGAGGAGGAGGTATAACAGGTTTCTTATTAAAAAAAGAAAAAAAAAAAAAAAAAAAAAAAAACACCTTTACAACCGCTTTAACTAACAAAAAGGGAGTACAAAAGAGACGTTCACTTAAGGGATTTACAAACAGCTGGCCATACACACAGAGATTTATTACATTCAGCCTACAGACTGAATTAAAGAAATTAAACAGATTCCTCCATATGCACTAAATAGTGTGGATGGATGAATCTCTCACTGCAGCTCTTGTATTCTGACAGATGGTACCTTTGGCTTTCAGAGTACCCAAACAGTGCTTGCATTTGATTGAATGTAAGCACTGTTCAGCTGGCAGATTTCCACCTGGCTCCATCAATTTTTTAATGGAACAAAGTCAAAAGGAATGGTGCAGCAAGGCCACCCACTGATCATATTACTGGCATTTCATTAGAAACCTGCTGAAACTGTATTGTCAGCTTTAACGGATTCTCTCCTGGTACTAGGCTTTCAAAATAAAATCAGTGTGTTCAACTTCTCAGTGCTCAGATAAACAAGGCTTACATTCACTGTCTTTTCTAGCAGTTTTGCACTGGGCATAGCATGACTAGAAAAAGAAAAAGAAAAAAAAAAAAAAAAAAAAGGACTGAATGACTGGCAGAAAATGGACAATCCTTTTTTTACCCAGTTCCCACTATCTGCAAAAAGCAGATTGCCATAGTTAGGTTTTCATTTCGTTTTTCTTTCAGTTTTAAAACACAATTGTGCCCAATAAGTGAATGTTCTCAATTATCCAGGTCATGGTAGAGCTACTGGCAGTTCCTCACATTTAACTGGACTTGTTCTGTATTATTTAGGACATAGCTGTGCAAGCTGCAAGCGGATTGGATTAATGTGCAGGGGTGTGGAAATTTTTTTGAAAAACTACTTGTCCAGGGACTAAATCGGGGCCCCAATCTACTTGTCACTCATGACAATCCACTTGTCAAGATATACGTGTAATATTTTTAACATTGTGCCGTTTTATCTCCTCCTCCCCCCCACCTCTCTCCAGCAACGCAACTGGGGACTAGCAGGGAGGGGTGGAGACCTTGCAGTGTGATGAACAATGATTGGCTGCTAGTCAGGAAAGGGTGGGCTTATACTTTACCCCTTTCGCTGCCAGAGCCGTTTTTGAATTTTTTGCACACGTTTAAAAAATCATTTTAGGCCTGAAGATTACATAAAACCGCCAAACATTATATATTTTTGGAAAGCAGAGACCCTAGAGAATAAAATAGTGGTAGTTCCAATTTTGATTGTGATTTTACCGCACAATTTTAGTAAAAAATACAAGTAAGTTAATTTTAGAGCACAAAAAAAAAGCAATAAATTACCCTATTTTTTTATAAATATAAAAGATAAGGTTGCAGCGAGTAAATAGATATCCAACTTGTCAAACCGTAAATTTGTGCACACTTGTGAAATGGCAACGAACTTCAGTACCCTATATTTCCTATAGGGCAACACTTTTAAAGTTCCTTATAGGTCACCAGTTTAATGTTACGGAGGAGGTCTGGTGCTAGAATTATTGCTCTCATGCGTAGGCGCCCCAGCGTGTGCTTTTACGTTTGTACGTGCCTATATGTGGGGGCCTTAAAAAAAAATTTTGGGGGGGGGGGGATGGTATGTGCTTGGGTGTAACTTTCATTTTTTACAATTACAAAAAAAAACAAGTTTTTTTTTTTACTACTTTTTTTTCCCCCCAATCACATAGGGGACAAAGTGTAGGATATGTATTTTAGATATTCCTGGCTTAAAATGTTGCTTTATGTTGTATTATACTGTATGCTCATAACGTTCAAATAGTTATATGAAAATGCTAAAATAATATTTGCAATATTTAAATAGTTATTAATACAAAACATACAGTGGAAGCAAATATCACAAACCTGGTTGAGCCCACGGTTGATGTGAAAGACTATACTTTGGACCACCCTGGTTAACCATTGTTTTCAATGCAGTTACCTAAAAGAGGTCTGTAGTTAGCAAACATCTCAGAGGACATAAAATTACAAAGGTAGATGATCTGCCACAGTTGAACAGAAAATACTACTGAAATTTTAATGCAAGATTTTACTGAACAACATGAAATAAATCTTTAATTTAACATTTGAAGACAAATATATGCATAATTCTGCCAGCCAGCGAGTGGGCTATCAAAAATCATAAGGCAATCTGCTGCCCCCCAGTGTGAGATGCAGACACTTACAACAGTTATAACTTCAGTCTAAACATTCTAAATCTACATTAATCTTAAAATGAAGCTTGATCTCTTTTGCCAATCAGCTCAAAAAAAAAAAAAAATTTAACAGTACTGTACATGCAGGAAAAAAGTTGTGTACTAACCACTTATGAAGTTCATGCTTTCTAACTGCTGATTCACACATGTGTGGTGCGGATTGAAGCACAGGCTTCACAGCTGATTGATACAGTAGTTGTTCAGCGGAGCAGGTCAGGGTTACATCAGTTTCAAGACAGGTTTAGGCTAGGTTCCCACCTATGCAGTTTGCAATCCGTTTCTGCAGTGCTTTTTGCCACATTATTGATGCCTTTTTTTTTTTTTGTTGCTAGGCAGATTAAAATGCATCAAAACTTTGACAAAAACGCAGTACATGCTTTTCTGCAACATTTCCATTGAAGTCTATATAACCAAAAATGCAACTTTTAGCGTTTAAAAAAGTCCCTGACCCTTTCCAAAAAACGCACCGGGTGAAAACGTGGAGATGTGAACCTGTCCCATAGGAAATCACGTTAAATAGACTGTAGTGCATTTCTGGAAAATGCTTAGGTGTGAACCTAGAGCTAGATCAGGTTCAGGTTCGGATTTTATCTTGTTCACAACTTATGACGTGAGGTTTAGAAATGGTTCCCATATAATAAGTCAATAGCCTGTAATCTTCAGCTGAACCAGACCACACTGCTCAGAAATCAGTCAGGACTTTTTCAATCCTCACCGAATTCACAATGCCAGTGCACCAGGACATATGTGAACAGGCACCATAGGAAGCAATGTAATTTCACTTGTCATGACGATTGGATGGGGCTCAAACTGTGTGTACAGTGCATCCAGAAAGTATTCACAGCACTTAACTTTTGCCACATTTTGTTGTTACAGTCTTATTCCAAAATGGATTAAATTAATTTTTTTCCTCAACATTCCACAAACAATACCGCATAATGACAACGTGAAAAGTTTGTTTTGAAATATTTTCAATTTATTAAAATAAAAAACCGGAAAAAAAAAAAAAAAAAAAAAAAAAAAAAAAAAAAGCACATGTACATAAGTATTCACAGCGTTTGCTGTTGCCAGACTTATCCACTTTACTAACCGTTCTGTATCTGCCACCCCTCTCTGCCAATCCCTCCACTGGCTTCCCATTGCCCAACGGATAAAAATTCAAAACATTAACAATAACGTATAAAGCCATTTATAACTCTGCCCCAAATTACATCACCGATCTTGTCTCTAAATATCACCCAAACCATACTCTCCGCTCTCTCACAAGACCTCCTACTCTCTAGCTCCCTTGTCTCCTCCTCCCATGCTTGTCTCCAGGACTTCTCCAGAGCTTCCCCCATCCTCTGGAACTCTCTACCCCAATTTATCAGACCATCGCCTACTCTGCTCACTTTTAGGCGATCTCTGAAAACCTCTCTCTTCAGGGAAGCCTATCCGGCCCTCATCTAATAATGGAATCTTCTACTCTTCCAACCAGTCCATCTCCCACAGTTACTACCTTTTGTACCACTAGCCCCTCCCTCCTAGATTGTAAGCTCCAAGGAGCAGGGCCCTCCTATCCCTCTGGTATTGAACTGTATTGTTGCTGTATTGTCTCCTGTTATATTGTAAAGCACTGAGCAAACTGTTGGCGCTATATAAATCCTGTATAATAATAATAATGTTTGCCATGACACTCAAAATTGAGCTCTGGTGCATCCTGTTCCCACTGATCATCCTTGAGAGGTTTCCACACCTTGGAGTCTGTTGGACATTCAGTTGATTGGACAAGATTAGGAAAGGCATAAACCTATATATAAGGTCCCACAGTTAACCATGCATGTCAGAGCACAAACCAAGCCATGAAGTCCAAGGAATTGTCCGTAGACCTCCGAGACAGAATTGTATCAAGGCACAGATCTGGGGAAGGGTACAGAAAAAATTCTGCAGCATTGAAGGTCACAATGAGCACAGTGGCCTCCATTATCCGTAAATGGAAGAAGTTTGGAACCACCAGGAATCTTCCTAGAGTGGGCCACTCAGCCAAAATGAGCGATCGAGGGAGAAGGGAATTAGCCATGAAGGTAACCAAGCACCCGATGGTCACTCTGAAAGAGCTACAGCATTTCTCTGTGGAGAGAGGAAAACCTTCCAGAAGAACAACCATCTCTGCAGCACTCCACCAATTGGGCCTGTATGGCAGCGTGGCCAGACGGAAGCCACTCCTCAGTAAAAGACAAATGGCAGCCCGCCTGGAGTTTGCCAAAAGGCACCTGAGGCACTCTCGGATGATGAGAAACTCTCTGGTCTGATGAAACAAAGATTGATCTCTTTGGCCTGAATGCCAAGCACCATGTCTGGAGGAAACCAGGTACCGCTCACCACCTGGCCAATACCATCCCTACAGTGAAGCATGGTGGTGGCAGCATCATGCTGCGGGGATGTTTATCAATGGCAGGAACTGTGAGACTAGTCAGGATCAAAGGAAAGATGAATGCAGCAATGTGCAGAGACATTCTTGATGAAAACCTGTTTCAGAGCGCTCTGGACCTTAGACTGGGGCGACAGTTCATCTTTCAACAGGACAACAACCCTAAGCACACAGCCCACATAACAAAGGAGTGGCTATGGGCCAACTCTGTGAATGTCCTGGAGTGGCCCAGCCAGAGCCCAGGACTTGAACCAGATTGAACATCTCTGGAGAGATCTGAAAATGGCTGTGCACCGACGCTCCTCATCCAACCTGATGGAGCTTGAGAGGTACTGCAAAGAAGAATGGGAGAAATTGCCCAAAAATAGATGTGCCAAGCTTGTAGAATCATACTCAAAATGACTTGAGGCTGTAATTCCTGCTAAAGGTGCTCCAACAAAGTATTGAGCAAAGCCTGTGAATACTTATGTATGTTTTTTTTTTTTAATTTTTAATAAATTGCAAAGATTTCAAAACAAACTTCTTTCACGTTGTCATTATGGGGTATTGTTTGTAGAATGTTGAGGAAAAGAATGAATTTAATCCATTTTGTAACATAACAAAATGTGGCAAAAGTTAAGCGCTGTGAATACTTTCTGGATGCACTGTATATATAAAAACGGCACTAAATGAGATAATATATCCTGGATCTCATCTTATCTGGGAAGAATAGAGCAGTAGAAAGAAAACAAAAAAAATCTACTGTAGATCAAGGTTTTCTATCCTTGATCAACTGTGTAACTTGTGATATACCATAACAAGACACTGAAGGTTTCAAGCACCACTACTACTGTTAACCATATGTAGGATCTGACTATATCGCTTTTTTTTGTAATGGATACAATGCACAGAACACAGAGTTTACCATACAGCAACCTCTTTCTGCATTCCCCAAGGTCCTCATGTGCACCCCCTACTTTCAATGTCGTCCTACCAAAGTCTGTGTCAATGCATCCAAGGAAAGCAACATCCTGCCGCATCGATGGCACTTTGTGTCTAATATGTACAACATATGGACAAAAGTTTGCAAATACCTGACCTTCTTAACATAATTGGCCAAAATCATGTGGCCAACCCTTCAAATAATTAAGTTGAGATGTCTCCAGTGAAGGGTGTTAATTGTGCAGCAAGCAGTGCAAAGCCATTTTAGGCAACTGTGCATTCTAAACTAGCAACATTTTAGGGAAGGTCCTTTTCTGTTCCAGCATGGCTGTGTCCCTGTGCACAAAATCAGGTTCATAGAGATATCTGATGAGCTTGCTATAAAGGAATTCAAGCATCGTGCATAGAACCCTGACTTTAACCATACTGGACACTTTTGGGATGAATGGGAACACTATTAAAAGTTAGTATTTCTTACTCCACATCAATACCTGACATAACAAATGCTCTTTAAGCTGATGGGGCACAAATTCCCACAGAAACACTCCAACATTTAGTGGAAAGGCTTTGTAGAAAAAGTGGAGGCTGTGAAAGCTGCATATAGGGGTGGGGATGGAACTCTATATTAATGGCCATGGTTGTGGAATGGGATGTTCAACTAGTTCATATAGGTGTGCTGGTCAAGTGTCACCAAATGTTTGCTCATTCTATACTACTACATAAAATGGCAAAGTCCCCAGAATGGCAATATCACTCATGTATAGTAAAATAGTTAAAGTTTCATTAAAAGCAGAACCGTTTTGGTTCAGGAGTTCAGTGGAGAGAGTTTAGAACTCTTGTCAAGTTTTTATTGCTGTTGGTGCCCCCATTAGGGATATTCACTCTCTCTATTTGTCCTGTTTACAAAAGTGAAAGTAAAAGAAAACCCCAAATTTAGGGCTGACATCAGTACAGTTATAGAGGGGAAATCTTCCAATGGGGACAGTAGATCTGGTGACATCCCAGGATTCCCTCACTTTGGAAGGATTTCCTCTTACTTCCTATTTTGGCTATGTGACAGGAAGTGAAGGAAAATTTCTCCTATAGGACACAGATAACAAAAAAAAACCACAGGGGTTATAATCCACCTTATTCTATTCAAAGTGAAGAAAAAAAAAAGTTTTGCCTTTAGTGATACATTAAATCATGATGCTGCCTGTGTTATTTGCCACCAGAGAAAGCACATCCTCCCAGAAGGATATCCTGCATGCAAAGTCTAAGCCTTGTCATTGAAACTTAAATGTAGGTAATAATTTCTGATAATCCTATAAAGCAATGTTTCAATTCAGTGCTACTGATATAATCATAGTTTTCTACTAATAAATGTCATCTTGTCCCTATAAAAGTAATGGGCTAAATGCACTGTGCTTTCATTGTGCCACTAGTTATACTCTGCTCAACAAGAAAACTCCTATAATTTCTAAACTGAACCAGCCAAAATCACAGTTTGAATCTTACTGATTGCAAAGGACAATGGAATTTGTCATTGAAAGTAATGCTTTGAAATTAATGGAAAGGAATTAGTTTTTTTTTTCACCGTTTTACTGTCCATAAAATCTCTTTTTATAACACTAAAGCAGTAGAGATTAAGGGTCTGGTGTGTCTGAGTAGCAGAAAAGCTTTCCAGAGGCCCTCCTGCTGATCACACTAGAGTTCTGTAAAAAGCCACATTTTTTTTTAAGTTTCAGCTGTCTTTTTTTCGCCCGGAAATTAAAAGGTATTTTTAGCATGGTAACCAGTCCATTAATCTCCGTAGAAGCTGCTCCAGCTGTCTAATGGAAGTGGCGATGCAGGAGACCATCCTCTGTTTGCAGAGACAGAGAAAGAGAGACAATTGAATGCAGCACCAGTATATCTGAAGTCCTTAAGAGATAAGATTTAGGGGTCTATTATAAAAGTTTTCACCCAAGATTCACACTTTTTTTTTTCTAATTGGATTCAGCTGAAAAAATATGTGAATTCTGGTTGAAAGTTGTTAATTTTGTTTTGAAAACACTTATAGATAGAGCCCCAAATGTTTATTTTAACCACTTTGCACCCAAGGGTAAAACAAATCTTAACGCCTAAACATAATTTTGCAACTTTGACGTGTTACCAAACCCATACATCATCACAACTACTTTCTGCATCCAGGTGTATTATACCTTGCTTTTTTCCGGACAAAATTGGGCTTTCATTTGGTGGTAAATGATAATGGATATATCCTGTTTTTTTTATCATTTTTGTTTTACTAAATTTAGCTGTATATTGCTTGCTACTATCATAACCTACCACCAAAGAACAACCTAAAATAATTTCTCCTGCCGATCACAGCAATACCATATATGTGTATGTTAGTTGTTTGTACCTGTAGTATGGCCCAGAAACAACAGTGCTCATTTTGTTTATTTTATCCTGCCACTAACTGACACTGATACTAATTTTTATTTGAAAAAAAAAAAAAAAAAAAAAAAAGAAACAAACTGATCCTGACCTTGACCCAAACCTTAACCCTGGCACTGACCTAGATCAAACCTTAATCTAGGTATTTTTTTAAAAACATATATTTTATTTTTTTAATTATTATTTTTATTTATTTTACAAACACTTTTTTTTCTCTCTGAAAACACAGAGAAATACAATGTACACTATAATGCCAAATCTATTGGGACGCCTACCTTTACACACACATGAACTTTAATGGCATCCCAGTCTTAGTCCGTAGGGTTCAATATTGAGTTGGCCCGCCCTTGCAGCTATAACAGCTTCAACTCTTCTGAGAATGGATGTCCACAAGGTTTAGGAATGTGTCTATGGGAATGTTTGACCATTCTTCCAGAAGTGCATTTGTGAGGTCCGGCACTGATGTCGGACAAGAAGGCCTGGCTCACAGTGTCCGCTCTAATTCATCCCAAAAGGTGTTCTATTGGGTTGAGGCCAGTCAAGTTCCTCCACCCCAAACTCGATCACCATGTCTTTTTTGAACTTGCTTTCTGCACTGGTACGCAGTCATGTTGGAACAGGAAGGTGCCATCCCCCAAACTGTTCCCACAAATTGGGAACATAAAAGTTGTCCAAAATGTCTTGGTATGCTAACATTTTAAGAGTTCTCTTCACTGGAACTAAGGAGCCAAGCCCAACCCCTGAAAAACAACCCCAGCACCATAATCCCCCTTCACCAAACTTTACACAATGCAGTCAGGCAAGCACAGTTCATTGGCAACTGCCAAACCCAGACACGTCCACGGAATCTCACACAGAGAGGTGTGATTTGTCACTCCAGACACGTCCACGGAATCTCACACAGAGAGGTGTGATTTGTCACTCCAGGAGTACATGTCTTTCCACTGCTCTGGAGTCCAGTGGTAGCAGGGTAGTCCAGTTTGCATTGTACTTGGTGATGTAAGGCTCGAATGCAGCTGCTAGGCCATGGAAACCCATTCATGAAGCTCTCTATGCACTGTTGTGCTAAGCTGAAGGCCACACAAATTTTGGAGGTCTTTAGCTATTGACTCTGCAGACAGTTGGCGACTTTTGGGCACTGTGTGCTTCAGCATGCGCTGACCCCGCTTAGCCATGAAGTGGTAGGCCACGTAAAATGACAGAGTTTGCGGTTAATCCCAGTTGCTTCCACTTTGCTATAATACCACTAACATTGGAGCGTGGAATATTTTTAGTAGCAGGGAAATTTCCTGGATGGACTTATTGCACAGATGGCAACCTATCGTGGTACCACGCTTGAATTCACTGAGCTCCTGAGAGCGACCCATTCTTTTACAAATGTTTGTAGAAGCAGTCTGCATGCCTAGGTGCTCGATTTTATACACCTGTGGACATGGAGGTGATTACAACACCTGAATCCAATAATTTGGAGGGGTGTCCCAATACTTTTGGCAATATTGTTTCTCTCTCTCCTCTATTCAGAGAGAGAAAACACGGGGGTGGGCTTCACATTGACTGATCACTGTGATAGCCTATCAGAGGCTATCGCAGTGATCAGGTGACCAAAAAATCAGGAGTTACGGGTCCCGATTGTTAGAACGGGACCCAGGGCTTTCAGTGAGATCTTGGTCTCTGTGCTGGTAGTGCACCGCACGGCACATACGCAAATTAACGGCCCCACAGAAAAATGCCCAGTCCACTGGGGCCTCATATATGTGTATATCGGCGTAAAGGGGTTAAAATGTGATGGCAAGTTTTAACTACACCCCATTGATTAAATCAGTACACAAATTTATCTGATTGCCTGTCTCCTATGTGGAGATTTCAATTTATAAGTATTTTTGAATAGGGGTTGAAAAAAAAAAAAAAAATTCTATCCTACTGCTGTGGTCCATTTCATTTATTTTTATTTAAAAGGAAAAACATGTACTGAGGGAAATACAGAAGCTGGTAATGTGGACCTCTATGATCAATAACAGCTGCCTGGCTTGCACGAATGTCTTATTACATGAGATAAATGCTCCTATGTGCCCTGTTATAACTTAGGTCCCTTTCACACTCTCGCACCATTTGTCTGTTCTTCGTCCATCCATTGATGGATAAAAAACAAACATCAATGCTTCTCTATGTAAACGATGTAAACGGATGATGATCTGTTTACATCACTTTGTCAACATCCATTTTTTTTTTTGAACGGACTAAAGCCATATTTTTGGTCTGTCAAAACGGAATGGACAAAAAATGGATGTACACAAACAGTCCAATTTTTCAATGCTAGCAGATGTAAAAACTGATGAAAGCCTGATGAAAAATTTAAAATAAATCCATTTTTTCTTTGATAAAACATGACTGAACAGTCTGCAAGTGTGAAAGGGGCCTTAGCAGGATAGGACCCCCTAAAGACCAAAAGGGTCCCTCATTTCTATCCAAGCTTAAATTGATTAAGCATACAGAATGCCAATTTTACTAAAGGGCTAGCTTTTTGTGTATACTGTGATAAATGTCCTTAAGGCCCCATTCATATGGGGCGTGTTGCGTTGATGCATGAGCTGCTGCTGTGGCTGGACAGTGCACCTAACTATACTATTTAGGTTAGTACACATTCAGGGATGAATGCCCCAGAACACAGACTGCTTGCGTTCCAGGTATTAGTCCATGGGCGCATACTGCCCTAGGTGCACTATCCAGCCGCAGCAGCTTTCAGCCTCTTATAGAGTTTGACAGGCTGCTGGAAGCGGGGCTACATGTTACATCTGTGCCCTCCGCTCTCATCGAAATGCCAGAGCCTCTAGCGCCGAGTGGCCCATAAAAAACAATATAACCTAATGTATACAACAAAGAAAAGAAAGTTTTCAAACGTGTAATCTAAGCTTACAGATGCACAACTAAAGCAAAATATAAAATGTACCTTTGCCATAAAATCTTCTAATGGTTCAACAAAGATCTTACTCTGCTGCTGAATAAACTGCTCACAAGCTGCCTTGAGGTGTCTGTCAACATCTTTCTTTGAGTCAATGTAATGTTCCTTTATTTCTGGTGTTCCCTATAAAAAGGAAAGAATGCATTGTTTTGCTACAAAAAAATCCAGTAAATAACCTGAAATATTGCAACAATCAAAGCAAATCCCAACTACCTGGAGGAGGAACTCAAGGATGGCATTGTTGCTGTTGAGCCTGAAGAATCGTGGAACTGTCTTTGGGTGTAGAATTTTAAAGGCGGCATCTAGAAAGCATAGAATAGATACGCAGCTGTAAACCACACAATTTCCTTGCTTTTGTAGAAAATCTTGTCAGACAACCTGCACCCACTAGAGCCAACATATTTTAAGTGAGGTACTAATGAAGTGTATGTGAACAAAAATAAAATGAAAAACAAAAAATAAAATATACTGAGAGTTGCTTTCCAATACATGCACACGTGTCCACATTTCATCACCTGATAATCCTGCTATAAATGCAGTCTGCCTCTTACAGACAATACAGCCCTTTTGGAATTCCACAAACCCCATTATACTTGGATACCCTAATGCTAATAATTACACCAGGCTCCGCAGTGGATTGCCTTTCAGAGAGTGGTAGAGCAGTAGTTGCCAGGCAATACTATTTCCTTCTGAATGCCATTTTCTTTTATACAGCTAAATGTGGATTTTGTATGTCCCAGGCTGCAAGACCGGGCTGCAATCGCAAGCTAAGCGTTTGGCTCACATTTGCAACATGGCCCCATTTACTTGAGTACAATCCTGAGGGTCTGCATTCTATGTTTTAGGTGGGCGGTTTGGGGTACACAACCTTCTATTTCTACCAACCCCTGGATGCACGTGTGAACAAGGCCTAATACAGGTTTTATAATTTCAGAGAAGGAAAAAGTAAAAAAAATCCTTTCCACTAGATATTAATGGCTGACAGTGCCACGAACAGCATAGATGAAATGGTGGATACTCAAATCTAGACCTCACCTCTGAACTTGGTCTGACTCGTCCTCACTGAAAGTAGAACATTCGATCCGCTGTTCTCCCAAACTCTGGAACATGCTGTGGGACTGAAGTCCAAGCCACATTTTTAAATGGGTACTTACCTTTTCTGCTCGCTTTTTAGTGACATATTGGTTGACACAGAAATGTGCTCAAAGGCAATAAATGGGAGACATTTCTTTTGTCAATCAAGTAAAAAAAACACCAAAAAGGACATATTTGCCCCAAGACCCCAACACTGGAAGAAATGCATCACTATTAAGGTTTTGGTGATGTTCAAATGCAATCAGTTACTGCTCTAGTTACAGCAGAAGTGTTCAGAAAGTATTAATAAGCTAAAGGGAATATTTATAAAACAGTCAATATGACATTCACTGCAGGTGAATCTGTCCCATATTTAAAAACACATGCCAACACACCAGGAAGACACATCTACAATGAATATTTAAAGACTGTCACATTTACTGCTTTTTAAATACATACTTCATGAAAGAAAGTTTTGAAGACATGCCATGCAATAAATGAGTTCCTCTCTATATAACAAAATTAACCCTATATAGAAAAAGTGACTGAAATGGTTTGAAGATCCCAGACAGCTTCTATGGCAAGTGATGCCGATCGGTTGTTAAGCAGTTTTTTTTGTTAAAGATTCTCAGTCATGTGACCTAAAGTAAACACTATCTCAAACAATAAAAGCTCATTAGGGTTGATTACGAAAAAGAAGCCATTCCCAAGCAAAACATGATTATTCAGTTATATCAGCATATCACAAATGAATGGTCTTTGAATCCTATTAGATGAGACTGTTAAAGAAAAAAAAAAATGCATTCCAGGGGCATCATACTCGGCTACTCTGAAGGAGATGAACTGAGCATGCAGTCACATGCAGAACTATCACTCTTTACTGAACAAGGTAGAAGATCTAATAAGAGGCGAATAAAGCAGATCCATTAATCAAAAAAAAGGCAAGGGTAAGGGTGGGCCCCCTAACCATTTTAATGTTTTGTGAAAAAAAATGTTCATCTAAATATAAAAACTTATCAGAGTGTGCTAACCAGGGGCGGACTGACCATTTGGAAACTCGGGCACTGCCCGAGGGCCCGGGGTCAGTAGGGGGCCCCATGAGATGCCCCTGGTACCTTTTTCATAGGCTTTTTTGAGTTTGGGCAAGGACACAGGGGCCCCATGATCCCCTATTGCTCGGGGACCCCATGAGTTGTCAGTCCACCCCTGGTGCTAACACATTCCATGCAGTCTTTTTTTCTTTATGTAAAACATAAATGTACATCACAGAAAAGGTCATGGCAGCTTTGCCTACCTTTGTGACATGATGGATCTCAGAGCAGTTTTTAACTATAGCAAGAAATATGTTTTTAACGGAAAAATGTGTTATTTGGTAATGCTGACATCTTTTTTAATTGATGTGACATGATTTTATTTATTTAAGATTGGTCCATTTTAAGACATTATTCACAGCATAGCATTTTGTAGCTCAAAGCTCCAAAACACCCAACATCCAAAATCTTATGTAGATTAATGGTGGCTATTCACATGATCATTCAGATGCCTGTAGCTCAATGCCTCACACTCCAAAAGCTGCATGAGCTATTTTTGAGGCAGATCTAGCCACAGACTTCCATAAACTTCAGTGGGAATCCCTGTAAACATCCGAATAGAGTGTTTTTTTTTTTAGCATTTTCTTCAGGCGTATTTCAGTCATGGTTGACCGCCTGAAAATGCTAGTTAGGCTTTAACACTTAAAATAACCCTCAAATGACATCATGGATCCTTTTTATTCTGGTGGTGGGCAGACCGTAAATGCTTCAGAGATTATGGGGTGCCGAGTTCAGAATAGGGGGCAGAGATGACTTCCTGGACCCATAGGAAGTGTGTTATAAACCAGAGCTGCTGTGTTTTCTTTTCCGGAATAGGTAGAACTGGGCTTTGTAGGTTTTAGCAGTTAATATAACTTCACATGAAGGGCTTGGCACACATACAAACACACACTGTATCTCAAAAGTAATGTTGTAAAACACCTCACTGCTTTTTTTTCCCCATTAAGTAGCATGTTTCAGTAGATTAGTAGCACAGCCAAGCACACAAGCAGTCATGGTACACAGACACATCATGCAAAGAATTGCAGGTGAACATGAAGTAAAACGAATGAAGACCTGTGATGAGTGATCAGAGTAGGCTCAGTATCTGTCCTACTCTTTCAGACATCACAGCGGAGATACCTCTTGTTTTCTTGAGGTCCAGGGAAATTTCCTTTATGGTGAATTCAGTGTGAAAAGGTGCAATCTGCTCACGCAGAATGAGGAGATGTTTTATCAGGAACAGCTGCCCATCGACCTGTGTCTAGATTCAAAAGACAAACTTTGGTAAACAAAGACGTTTAACATATCTTTCAAAAATAGGATAATACGTTGAAATAAATCTTAAAGTATAACCAAATTAACAATTTTACTTTTTGTAAGGTTTGCGTTTAGAATGTATGACTACACATAATGTTTGGTCTCTTTTTGGGTTGGGTGGTGAATGTTTAGAAGACTTCTTCTGTTTGCCAGCTAGGGTGAGTCACTGTCTCTAGTCCCAGTCACCGTCCCAGTGACTAAAATCACGAAGAAAGAAAGTGTTGGGTATTCCAAAATAAAAGAGTGTTTTCCTCAAACTGGAGAGATTTATTCTCAATTCCTGTTGTGTCTTTGTAATTAGAAAGCTCATCAATGGGACTCACAGGTAAAAAGATGGCTAGAGATGCACTTTAAATAGCTAAACCCCAACAGAACTCAAAACCCACAAATTATTTCAATGAAGACATGTGGTCTTGTGAAAACAAAATAAAAAAAAAAAAATTTACAAGATAAATTTTATCCTTTCCCTGTTACAGTAATTGAGAAGGTAACAAATCTTTTTTATTTAAAGCCCAGCTTGGGAAAACTGAAAGATCTCCCATGCAGTGGGGGTGTGCCCACACTGGGAAGGGTTAACTGCCCATTTCTGTCTACAGGTCACGAAAACAAGCATTTTAACTGTACTGAAAAATTGTTATCCTGGAGTACAGTACAGGACTGGTACTCATAGACCATTATATATACTGCCACCATCAGCTGACTGGACACTGGTACAAAAGTTGGCCACCCCTAGATCGTACCCACATAACCTCAGCTATTCAGTGACGCTCCAGTTTTTAGCAAGCAATAAGCATTGATCAACACACAGAGGGGAGGGAGTTATCTAGTGTTTCAAAACAACCCTGTTCTTGTGAAAAACAAAAAAGGCTCTTTTCAAGAAAAAGCTGCCAACTCCGAAACAAACCTAAACAGACATGAAGACAACCAAGAAGCCAACATTAAGGGTGAAGTCCTTCAAAGGAATGTATCTAAATCTATTTAAAGGTGATCTCTGAAGAGCAAAAAGCACCACACTGAGATTCGAAGGTGACACAGGAGGTCGAATTGGGGGAATGATATGACCAACTCCTGTAGAACAGTCCTGATAAAAGACTTTGAGGCAAGAGGTTTCTTTGAGGATGGATAAAGCAGAAAGCAGTCTCAAGGAGGTACTCAGGGCCAGATACTGGTAAAAGACCAGACTGGAGGAAGGTTAAAAAATGAGCGACATATGATTCTGTGTCTTTGTACCATGCAAAGAAGGCCCTCTTTGTGCGATGGTATATCTTGCAGGAGTTGAATTTTCCTGCTCCTAGCAAAATGGGAACAACTGATTTAGGGATACCCCTACCATTTAGAACTTGGGTTCCAACAGCCATCCTGTTAAAGCCAGTGACTAAGAAGGATGGAATGGGGGGCCTTGGGCTAGTAAGTCTGGTCTCTTTGGAAGAGGCCAAGGCTCGTCCTCCAGAGATTTGAGTATGTTTTTGTACCATGTTCTTCTGGGCCACTTTGGTGCAATGAGAGTCATCGGGAACCTTTCCTACCTTGTACAGCAGTTGAGTAGGATCTTCATTGGAACGAAGGCATAAGCGAGTTACAATTTCACCAGAACATCTACAGTGAAGAAGGTTAAAGGTTTCCTGTTCTTGGCTGTGAATTTGTGCAATTTGTTATCAAATCTGGAGGCCAGAATTTCTGCATCTGGTTTTTCCCACCTTTGGCAATCTGTACATGTATTGGAGTACAGACTTTGCTAGTGTCTTAGTACCCATAGAGATCTAGTTTGGTTGTGGAAAATCAGGTGCTGTTGGGCAAAGAATAGTGCACACCACAACAATTAGATTAGATTAGAAAATCTATAGCTTGTACTTTAAAAGCTTCAGGGGAGGGAAAATCCTCTGTTGCCCACAAAATCAATATTATCATTACCTTCTTCCATATCTTCAAGTCATTGAGGTTTTCCCTTCTGATTCCTGAACAAGATCAGGACGTGTAACATTTCTGGCCTCTGGAAATCAAAGGTTTTAGAAACGCTTAGAGTTTTCATAATTCAGACACATTGTCAGAGAAATCTAATTTTGTCAGACAGGCTGCATGCCACAGAGGCAGCCAGAGTGAGATGAGGGGAACAGTGTCCAAAAAGGACATTGCTCCGGGACAAGGAAATAGCTTTCACCTTCAACAGTGGTTCTGCGTTTCCTGTAGGCTGTATATGGAACGTATGCTATTAGGCCCTTTGCCCCAGCTCACTTGTGCCTGTGATCTGCCAGTGTCCAGTGGGGCATTCACATTTCAGGAGTGTGGCATGGATGGAGTTTTGAGTATCAGCTATGACCCAGGCACTGAGTTTCTGTGGCTGTGTCAATCTAAAAGATGGATGCAGTAATGCAGCAATAGATTGTGTACATTCTTGGTGGAACAGGTGGGTGAAAACATGTCATCTTTGAGGTATGATGCTATTATCTCATCCTTTTGAAACCAAGTACAGATGGGAAACAACAAATTTAAAAATGTTCACTAAAGCATTAGAGACCAAAAAAGGCAGGGGATGCCACAATAAAGTATATAATAATTCTCAATCCTCTGCCTGCTGAACCACATAATGTGCTATGACCTGACCCACAGAGGTCTTCAGGGTCTGGGAACCATAGAAATGAATCATGGCCCTGGACCTGTATAGCACCCTGCAGCTAACTTTAAACATCGCATTTTGTTCTCAGGTGAGCACTTAATGCAGAGTCCAGTACCCCAAAAAAAAAAAAATTACAGGCTGCCCTTTCACAGTGGTTGCCACGGTATGGTCCCCAAGGTACACAGAGTGTAGCTGGTAGTGCAAGCAGGTAGCTAGTACAAGTCAATAAGCAGTCAGATGTTGAAAGAAGATTCACATGAAAAAACTTTGATGGTTTAAAATAAAAAATACTTCTCCAGATGAGAACAGGGCCATCACCTAAGGACACTAGCAGAAAACTGGAGACTCATGCAGTGAGCAGTTTTATAGGGAACACTCTATGGGAAGACCTAGCAAAAGTTTGGACAGTGTTCAATAAACCTGAAAGTAGCAGCATATACTGTAACCATTGATCTATGAACACCAGGTCTGTGTCTTGTACTGTATGATTAAGATAAGCAATTTTACTTACCTGATCCTCCTCTCCCTCGACAGACGGCGCTCCGCTCTGGCAGTGGATGCCCCTCTGTGTCTACACATCCAATGCAGAGCTATAGGCCCTGCATCTGTCTTGAGGATGGCAGAGTACATCAGACCACCAAAAATCAGAGAGAAGAAGCTGCAGGAACCACTCTAACAGCACAAAATGAGCAGGTAATGTTTGCTGTGTGGGTGAAGCCCCAATGCAAGGGAGGACTTTTAGTTTTCCTTGTATTCAGCTTTAACAATCTATTTGTACCTGATTTCATACTGCAGACCCTTGCAATATAAATATGTGTATTATGGGAATCCAACACCCTAGCAAACCATGTGAGCATGACAGTTTCCACAGCTCTGAACATAAATTCCCATTATTTTAATTTGAAACCTGGACAGATAATTTGGAAAGGAGTTTCTAAAAAGACAGTTGTCCCATAGACACCCCAAAAGAAGAGCTATGTACTGTAATTTTTAGTACTTCACATACTACTACAAAAAAACAAAAGAGAACAGCATTAAATATAACATACAGCAAACCTGAAAGCAAACAATGACTACAAGAGTATATATTTTACCAAAGATCTCAAGTTTGCAGCACTCCAAAGAGCTTATTAAATAAAAATATATTACAGCAACATTTCCATCTTATACGACAGTTTCAGGCCACAGAAAGCCCTTCTTTAGGCAGGAAAACATGCCACAAAACAGCCCTTCTTTAGGTTGTATAACAGAACATGAGTTTACCTACCTTAAGGAGGGCTGCTTTGTGGTCCGAAATGGTTGCATAAGATGGAAATACTGCTGTAAAATATTTTCATTTCATAAACCGTTTGGAGTGCTGCAACGTTCAGATCTTTATTACTCTATATTGAGGCAAAGATGGGATAGCTTTCATTGCACCCTGTACACAAAACCCAGGTGTGGCTCCCCTTTCCGAATGTGTTGTGTGTGTCTGTGTATACACACACACACACACACACACACACACATATATATATACATACACACATATATATAGATCTATATATATATATATATATATATATACACATACACACATACCTCATACACATACAAACTGACGTACATGTGTGTTCAAATAGAACACAAACTGGTACATGGATTGGCAACAGTTTTGTATTCCAAAAATAAAATGTATTTCAAATATGTACTATGTAAATATAAATGCTATGCAATTTTAAAAGGTATTTTGAGGTTTCCAGCAAACGTGCTATATGCTCTTGTATTGTGACCCAGTGATCTTTATCAGAATGATATGGATAAGGTGTGACATTCAGGACTGCAGAGCACAAGGTGAAATAGGATAATGGCCCATTTGTATATAATTCGACTCGACTGACCGGAACACGAAGGACATTCCAACATCCCTAGGGCAACATTGCAGAAAATATTACAATGACTAAACTGACAGCATCCCGTTGGGAAATTTACTAGTATTCAAAGAGCGAACATGAAGATATGTTAATTCAAAAAATGCTAAACAAATCATGTTCCTGCCATTCGTTTCTTAAAAGCTGACAATGACTCCTGAGCTATATGCAGAATGTAAATCCAGCATTTGTGAAAGAAAATCTTAAAACTTCAGCACAGTGGTACAGTAAAAGATCAAGGGAACATGGACACGCTGACCCCAACATTACAAAAATATATTTTGTTGTAAATGTTTCTTGCACACTAAAAGCACGCTTTACACATGCAACAACTGGCAACTGTGCATCTGCTAAGTGAGAAAGACTGTCCGCAGATGAGGGTGCAAAAAAAAAAATTTAAAAAAAAGTTCATAACAGCAA